TCCTGGCAGAGTTATAGACCATATGGTTTTGGAAGATCCCAAGATTGCCTTGAAGTACTGTCCAGGACTATGTGGGTGCACAGTCATGCCATGCTTTTACTAAAGTTGCCAAATCCTAGATGCCCAAGGTCCATGATAGGTGTGTGCAACATCCAGGACGCTCAGGCCCTGCTGTAAAGCCCCCCTCCCTTCTGCATTCAGTAGGTGCGAGAGACACCACTGTATGGCTGGGCATTGCTGATGGGGTTGTCAGAAGTGGCAATACACAGACTTCCTTATTATTCTGAATAAGGAAGTCCAGTCAGTGTTCTCCCTTTGCTGCTGTGGTTTAGTTTGATGTCTGTTGCCTGGTTTTGAAAAGGTCATACAACAATAGCAAAACCCCTAAACAAAATAAGCTCTCAGTATTGGCAAAGGAATGAAAGACGGGGAAGAAATTAACTCCCAATACCTCACAAAGGGTAATTTGGGCTGGGCTATGAAAGAGGCTATTATAGGACAGCCAGGCAGACATGCTTTAATAGAGACTACTTTGCCATTTTCTGGTCCCACCCTATACAGCTGGGCAAACACCATTAGGGAAATCACACTCTCTCGTTTCTGGATTGGAATCCCCCACCCCATCCAAGGTAAAAAGAAAGAATCAGCAGCTCTAGAGTTCACTAAGAGCCACAGGTAACATTTGCAATTCTCTTTGGGCTTTTTGTTCCTGCTTTGCAGGACTGAAAAATGTGTAGTGCCCTCTGCTTGACTTTGTTAGGAAATGCGTTACCAAGTTTGTTTGCTTAAAGGTGCTCTAAGTACTGTTCCATCTTTGACACAAATTCTATCCCCTGGAGCTTTAAAGAGGAAAAATTTTTTTTTCTTTGAGAAAAACTGGAAATAGGTGGAGGACATCAATGCAGAGCAACTTTGGAAAGGCTCTGGGGTTTGTAGGAGCTGGGGAGAAGTCTGAGAGGAGAGCATCAGGGGCAAGAAGGGGGTGGAGGGACTTGGCTGAGCAAGAGACTGCATCAGGGGTTCTGAATTCTGGGGCTATCTCTTGGCCTCTGAAAACTATCTTCCCGTAGCCTTGCTTGGCACTCTGAGACACCTGAGTAGCTGGGCAGCCAGAGATGCTGGTGGCAGTGCCAACTTCCTCTCATGGTTTCCCTTCCCTGCTCGATAGTGATACTGAAGTGCAATTTCCACGGTTGAGCTGAATCTTTGCCTACCTTATTAAAAAGCTTATGCTCTGGCTAAATTACCAGATCCCTGTGTACAGTTTAGAAGGTCATGAACAAGTGTACTAACACACTACCTATCAGACTCTGACATCAGCTCTGCTGACATCGGATGCTTTTGCTGTGATCCTTCTGATACCGTTTGCTACTTCTGCCTTGTCCCTTGGCAAGAAGTGATCACATTTCATCTGAAGAATTTATCCCTGGAATTTGCAAACTGCCTAGAAGAACTCACACACAATCTATGTGGGTCTGGCTTTTTATCCTTAACAGCTCTGTCTCTAATACATTGGCATGTCAGGCAAATCTCTCCAGTGAGAGGGTAGTGAAATGCTGGGAACAACCCTACAGAGGCTGTGAAAGCCCTGGCAATAGAAGTTTTCAGACTGTCAGAATGCTGAAAGGGTCTTCAGTACAGGGGACACAGAGTTTCTCGAGGACTGTGATTCTGTGCTCTTCTGTACATGTGCAGCTTTAGATCCACATAAGATGGACCCTTCCGTGCCTGGTATCACTATGCCCTCCATCACCCAGGAAGGAGAGGTTTGCTCAGAGAGAGGTGCTTGCCTGGAAAAACCCTTTGGGGAGACCCCCCTCCGTAAATCTCTGCAGGTAACTCAAAGAGACGAGTTGCCTGTTCAGAAACCTAACCAGGCCCTATTGTCTCGCCTAGGAACGTGCATATCAAGCAGAAGGAGATGCCAGAACAGCCAGGCTTTTGGCTGTAGGAATAAAAGAACTGTTCTCACAGTGCAAGGAGGTCAGGCTCTGCAGGGATTGAGGCTGAGACCTGTGCTGTTCAGTGTAGATGCCCCAAAAAGAGAGCAAGTTGTGAGGCTGCTGGCTTTGCTGGTGATAGAAGTTACTTGTCGTGGTGAGGATGACAGGAAGCTATGAAGAATTCAAAGGGATCTTATAGGACCAAGTGCCTTGGCAATAAAATAGCAGGTGCCATTCAGTGTAGGTAACTGTAAAGCAATGCAAGTGGGAAAGTACAATCCTAACTGTGTATATAAAATAAAGGGTTCTGAGCTGAGCTTTACCATCTCAGGAGTGAGGTCTTAGGCTTATGACAGAGATCTCCATGAATTTGTTAACTCAGCAAGGATCTAGAAAGGAAAAACTGTGAGGAAAAGAAAAGAGAGGAAAACAATATCATTTGGCACCTGTATAAATCCAGTTTTCTCACAGTCCTCCCCATCTCAAGAATGATATGATAGAACAAGAAAAGGTTCAGAGAAGGGCAAGCAAGGATGATCAAAGATCTGAGTACGAAATGGCTAAGTGAGCTGGGACTTTCCAACTAGGAAAAGGGAAACTTAGGGGAGATGCTATAGAGGCCTGGGTTTGAGGTTTGAGCGTCTTGGAAAGACTAGGCAGGGATTGGTTCTTCACTCTTTTCCAGGACAGGGACTAGCTAGTGGAAGCTAGTGGAAGCTAGGATCCAAAAACAGATCAAAGGAGATTTTTTTTTTTTTTTGTGCAGAAACAGTTGGGGAATTCAATACCAAAGGATATTGGGGTGCTTTTATGTGGGTTTATGTGGGTTCAAGGGGAGCCTGGAAGAGTGTTACTAGATAGAAACCATGTCTGACTGAGGAAATCCCCTAGGCTGAATGTAGTTGGAGATTGGGAAAGTACTCTGGGGAAGTAACACATCTGCTTGTCCTGTTCTTACTCTTCCTGGGGCATCTGCTGTGGCCACTACTGAGTACAGGATACTGAGGAAGATGGCTCCTTGGTCTAACCCTTAAATTGTGCTAAATTTCTATTATAACTGACTAGGAAACCTAGCCATAGCCGCTGCCTCAGCATGTAATCCTTAACTGCTGAAACTTTTTTTAAAAGGTTGTCTGGCGACACAAACTCACCTCCCACCACACAGCTAATCATTACCATGACAGATAGCTGTCTGTACCATGGACAAAGTCATGAAAGCATGTGGATTGTCCACCATGCTCTCTTCCCAGGCAAGCCAAGGCCACTAAAACATTATCAGACTTGATTTTTTAAACAAATGGTAGTAGTAAAACACTGGTTTGTTTAAAAAAAATACCCATGGTTAGATATAGTGTCTCTGTGTCTTTTTTAACAGTCTCTCCTTTGTGTGCACTGTTCTTTTGTTTCAATATATTTACAGTGGGTTGGTTGCCTCTTTCTTTCCTGTTTTCACAACAGCAGCTGAAGGTGGCTCTTAGGTGGAAGAGCACGAACTTTGGGCAGCATTAACAAAAAAAATGCAAAGCAAAAGGCAACAGGCTGGCTGTCCTTGGAGTGTGGCTAGCAGGGAGATCAGGCTCAGGGAGATGGGGAGGGGTTCCTTGCAAAGCCCCGGAGTCATGGCAACTAAGTGTACCTGCAGGGCTAGAAAAAAAGAGGAATTTTATTCCATGCAGTGGGACAATGAAGAATTTCACCTCAACTTCCGATTCAAGTTTTTCATCTTTCATCAGTGTTTGCATGTCAAAACATCTTGAGGTTGAAGTGTTCCCAGCACAAGGACTGTAATTCAGAGGCTTCCAATTCCGTGTTGTTTCTCCAGCTGAGGCTGTGAAGCAGGACTACATCTCCCAGGCTGCACCAGCCTGTCTCCTCCGGAAGGGACTGGAGGTTGTGGGTTCATTATGGGAGGAACAATGCAGCCGGCAAGCACAGCATGTGGAGAATAGCAACACAAGGTTGCTGGCGAACAACATCTTGCAGTCATTGCAGTAGGACAGGTGCACAGAAACTGCTCTTAAGTGGTCAGTTTTTGAGGAAAAAAAGAGGAATCATGCTGCAAATTTATATATATCGAATGAAAAAATTTCTGGAGGGGGAGACTTTGCTGATAGAAGTCTTTCCAAATTACATGGCATGGTTGCTGGTTGGAGGGAGACCTGTTTCTTTGCTCAAGCCAAGTGATAGGGAAGAGATCAATAAGGGTGGAGCATGAGGAATTGGCTGGTGTGGAACAGAGGAAGTTCCTGTTTTTGTATCACTGTTGCAATATCTCGGCTTTGCCTTTCCACCTCGACTGGACAGGCCAGGGGTGGAAAGAAGGCCAGTGAGGTTGCCAACATGGTGGCCAGAAGATGAGGCAGTGGGCCACTGGTGAGCCTTGCCTGGTTCCTTTCAGCTCTTCTGTAAAAGTCATCCCCCTGCTGTCTTGCACATCATTCAAGTGGCTGCCAGATGTGCAAGAGTGCCCATGCTCTCTCAGCTTGCCCAGCCCTCAAGTGTTCTTCTGCCTCTGCCACCCCAGCCCGCAAAGCTTGTCATTTCAGTGACATGGCCAGTTAGTAGGATGCCCAGCAGAAAGCTCTTTCAAGCAGCTGCTCTAACCGGTGGCACATAGGCATGATGGCCTGTGAGCGTGGTGGCCTTTGCACACAATGGCTCCCAGGATATGATGGTGCTCTGGGCATGTTGGCTCCATGGTGGCTTCCTGGCATGGTGGCAGGGTGGCCTCCAAGGCACGGTGGCTTCACAGTGACTCCCTGGGCACAGTGGCTCTAGGGATCACAGATGGGATGGTGGCCCAGTGGGCATATTGACCCATGGTGGCTCCTAGAGCACGGTGGCTCTGAGACACAACGGCTCCTTGGAGAAGAGGGTCCCATGGTGGCTCCCAAGCCCTGTGGCTCGGCGCCTAGGGCCGCTGGTCCCCGCGCTGGGGCAGTGCTG